AGGATTGCCTGACTGCACATTGCTGAGAGAATCTGTGAGGTAACTCTGAAAATGGCTCCAAGCCTTTCCCCAAATTTAATAACATTCCAGTGAACAAGTGCTGATCAAAAATGAGAATGAAAATGAAGATCATGCCTTTTATTAAATTTTTTATGGGCATACACACACACAAATATAAATGATTCAGATGAAAGTTCCATTTTTTTGTAATATATGAAGAGCCTCTTAATCTTGCAGAATAAGAACCTAATAAATTTTGCCAACTATGTTTGTTGACATGATTATTTGTTTTTGTATTAAAAATTTATTTTGTGTCTGTAATTTTTTCCCTGCCTGCTTCGGTAGGAAACTCAGGGGTAAAAATCCATTATGTGCATGAAATTGGTAGCTAGCTACAAAAAGAAAAGCAGATGGCAGCCAAGCAGAAGTACCAGATGTACATATCTGCATCTTTTGTACGGATCAAGACACTCAGGAACACAAATTTCTATTGTTTACGGTTCAGAAGTTAATTACCCATATTTTAAAATTCAAAAACTTTTATCTGATAATTAAGGGTGCACTTATATATTCCTGTAAATACATCCAAAAATTGAACCCAGGTCATTTTGCAAACATGCCTACTGTGGACAGGCTTATTCCCAAACTAGGGTGGTCAGGCAAACTCCTGGAGCGACACACAAATTTCAGGCAAGTGCCTTGAATTGAAAATGCTTTTTCTTCAGCTGGGGGTTCTGGCTTTATCTTGTGGGGAGACTGGGCAAATGTAGTTGGAATGAGAACTGCACAGCAGGAAGAGGATGTTTACCTTTTCCCCGTGTTCTCTCTGAGCTTTCCACCAAGATATTCCGGTGAATCTCCAACTACTTTATTTCAAGTCCAGCTGACTGAGGTTTGTTTAATATCCAGCTAAAATACTTCATTTCTAGCTCAGTTGGAACTTCAGATCTTTTGTTCTGAAATCCCTTTCTTGAGCTGCTGTGGTTTTATTTTTTAAACATCTCATCTGGGAGACAAGGACCTGGTGCATTCCTGTCATGTAGGATTTGTCTGCATGGAGGGGTCAGCTTTTGCATTGAAAATCATAACCAAGAAGTAAATGTGTTATGCAATAAATTTTATTTTTTTTCCTTGCATACTGAGATACATGGTTTGAAACATTAAAACCAGAATATCTGGAAATCTTCACCGTGTGTCTGATGTACATAAAATTTCTAGGGTTGTTTTAGACTTGCTGGAATTTTGGCAAGACTCTACATTCTCCATTTCAGACTTCTAACCTTGGCCTCAAGTTTTCCATAGAGGGATTGGCTTGTGGAGTGTTTATGGGAGGCATAGATACCATTTTGAGGTTTGGAAGGAAGACATAACTAGGAATTGCTATGACTGAGATAACCTGGCTAGGGGTGTCCAAAAGCTAATAACACCCTGAAAGCAACACTCTACAGGTGAGTTTCTTGTATTTTGTTAAATGCCCTGGATTGAAACAAAAAGGCTCCTTCTGAGCCATTTTTTTTGTACAAAGATGCAGTACCTGCAAGATGAAATTTTAGTTTCAAAATAATTGTGAAGATACACTCTTCTTTCAGTGGCACATATGCTACAGAAGGAACAACAATACTCCTACAAGTAAGGATTCCACATTTCTAATTGCTTTTTAACCTTCTCCAGCCCAAAAATTTAAGTGTTAGGTCCCTGCCTGACTTCTGGAATTTGGATACAAGAAAATAATTTTTGTGGAGTAAATTAGTATCACTTACTTCCCAGTGACTGCCCGATCCAGGAGAGGTCTTTTGGCCTTTTCACAGCATTCAAGAAAGTAACTTTGTTAATGCTTGGGTATGCATGAGAAATTCCAGGCTCTATCCCAACAGGGGTATTCAGGAGAGCCTATATTTTCAGTTAGAGGGTAAATTTAAACTAATAGCAACAATTTTAAGCTAAACATTGATACCAGTGTTCTGTTCTTAGCTTTATAAACTGTCCACGAAATGTAGAAATCCAGGGACACTTTAAGTGAACTGCTACAATGGATGTTTCTCTTGCTGGGCAACTTTGTCCTTGGCCCTGTTTTTGAACAAATAGCTATAAATCAGAAGTAATGCTCGTGAAGCCTATGAAATACAGCAGGAGTTAAATATCAAAGCTTTGTCTTCATGTTGTCAATTTGATTTGCCTTTTCCTTTCTTTTCTTGGAAGGTGCTTCTGGAGATAAACGTCCCCAGGATGCAAATACATTGGTTGTACCTCATCAAAATCAAACTGGTTTGGTTTCACTGGGACCAGCGCAGTGTAGCAAAGATGGATTTGCCTGTGTGCTGTTCTGTTGTAAATAAATTTGCTTCTTTCTGGAAGAGGTTCCCTTCTGTGAGTTTGCTGCACCCACATCCCCTTTCCTTTTCTCCGCAGTTCCCTGGTGTGTAGTTACAGCTTCCGTGCAGGAAGCACCTGGTACGGAGTGTGCCGAGCCATTGGGTGGGGAGGGGAGACAGATGATGCTCTGTGAGAACGATGAAACCCAAGATGTGCCAGCCCTTCTTAGCACAGGATGAACTCGAACCTTTCCCTGAGGGTGTCAGCTGGCAGCAGCTCTGCCTGCTAACAGTAGGGAAAGGAAGAATGGGAGAACAAAACCTGTTTTCCTCTGTTTTAAGGAGTAAAAGTTAGCTCTGGATGGACTTTTGAGATCATCCAAAATTCAAAGGGAAAATATATTAAATTAAGTCAGCGGTAGACCAATGTTTGTACCTTCTTCCAAAAGAACAAGAATCATTTAGGATGAAAACACTACATCTGTTCCACCCAGCCAAAAGTGCCCCAGCCCTTTCCCTGACCCCAAAGGGCAGAGATCATGAAGGGCCACTGCTACAAGTACTGGCACAGTCAGAGTCTCAGCTGTGTTTTCAGCATACAATGTGGAATATGGATAAGCATTCCTAAAGTGAAAGCCAGCTATTCTGCTGCTTTGATAATGTTTGTTTCAGCTCCCACTACACTTCTTCCTCTTGAGGTCCTGTTTTAAAAAAAAAACTCCATTCCTACTGTACTTGGAACATGTCAGGCAGAGGAACTGAGAGAAATTTACCAAGCATCTGATCTTACAGAGGAAACTACAAATAATTCAGGCTGTTTTTTTGACATGAACAAGAGAAGCAAGAAGGGCCTGAATCTGACATAGGTAACTTTGTTTTTAAAGAGCAGATTTCTTGCACATACCTCTGACCTGCAAATTCAGGATTACTTGCAGTAGTCTCTGAAATTCCACGGTGCCTGCAATCATCACTACCATTGCTCAGGGAAAGCAAACATAGCCAAATTAATAGTTTGAAGCATGTGTCCATATTATTATTCTGTAAATAAGGTCAGGAGCTGTGGCTTACATAGGTCAACTGGTCTTGAGTAAAATACCAACTCCTAATTAGTGAGGCTACTTAAGACTGATGGCTAAGTGTATCCACAGCCCAGACAGATCTGATTAGGCTCTGACATATCCGTGAACAATGTGCAGTGTGTTTTTTGCTGAACACGTTCCATATGATTTCCCACAGAAACCAATAAAATACTATTAACATTGTTAGCAAACTTAAATATTTATGTTATGCTTTGGAGAACAATGTGTCTCTTTATGAGGGGACACTGCCTGCAGCAGCAGAATTACAAACTCTGACAGGGGCCACCAGACACTGCTGCTGTGCAGACACGAACCGGGCAGGGTTTGGGGGAAGATTGCTTACTGAAGTGCTATCTACCCGCCTCTGCACATGAGTTTTCTAGGGTATGTGTCAAATCAAATCTCAGAGGTTGAGTGGAAACAAGGAATGTTTTGCCTGCGGCTCTGGAGGCAACGAAGGACTGGGGTGGATGCACACGCCCTGATAATGCACTGCACCAGCCACCCTCAGCTGCCATTTGGGCCTCTGCCCATCCGTCTCTTATCACTTCAGAACATTTCTCTGCATCACCACTGCAAAGAGACAAATCTTAATATGGCAGGGGAAGACCCTGGATTTTCCCAGAATGTGCTGAAAATGGTGTGGCCGATGTGTCTCAGGCACAGACTGTGCAGCAGCCGAGGTGCCCTGCCCTGTGCCCATGAAGAGCGGTGAGGGATGAGCCACAGAGCGCCAGCCTGTGCCGGGGCCGGACACAGCAGCCGCCAAAATGGTACGGGAAGGAGCTGACGCTGCTCCTTCCTTGGAGATGTTGTGGGGATTATTTACATCAGTACCATCGCCCTGCCGTTCTCATGAAGACAGCAAAAGTCACCTCAGTTTAAAAGACTTAAAGAAGTGTGAGTCTGTGTGTGTGCGCACACGTATCACTCAGATGCTGGGATTGAAACGGAGCAGGAGCGCAGGGATTGTGCAGATAAGGAACCCCGAGAGAGACGGACAAAGAAAACGGGAGCGGAGGTGTGAACAGAACAACCATCTCTCTCTCTATGTACATCCACATGCACGCACTCCCAGCGCCTCCCAGCAGCCCGGGCCGCAGTCCCCGCTCGCCGAGCACACCGCGGGCATGGCAGCGGTGCCAGGCTGGGCCGGACCCGCCCGTCCCGGGACCGCCTCCCGCTCCGCCCTCCGGCACAGCGGCGGGCCCGGCCCCGGGGCGGGGCGGCGGCCGGCGGGGCCACAGCCCGGTGACCTTCGCAGGCAGAGCCGGGCTGCGCCCGCCGCCGCCACCGGGGAAGCTGGGTGGGGAGACGGCCGAGATGGTGGAGGAGGGCGGCGAGGAGGAGGCGGAGGGCGAGAGCGCGGAGATGCCGGCGGCCCCGCTGCAGCGCTGCAATGGCTTCCTGCCCGGCAAGGAGTCGGCGGGCGGCGGAGAGCAGCCGGCCCCGGCGGCCTCGGCAGCCCCGGCGGCCCCGGAGGCCGAGGCGATGCTGGCGGCGAGCGGCGGGCAGCCGGAGGCGCGGCTGGAGACGCGGCTGTCGCGGCGGCGGCTGGCGGTGCTGGCTGTTTTCAGCTGCTACTCGCTGGTGAACGCCTTCCAGTGGATCCAGTACAGCATCCTCAGCAACGTCTTCGCCGGCTTCTACGGCGTGTCCTTCACGCAGATCGACTGGCTGTCCATGGTGTACATGGTGGCCTACGTTCCGCTGATCCTGCCGGCCACCTGGCTGCTGGATGCCCGCGGGCTGCGGCTCACGGCGCTGCTGGGCTCGGGGCTCAACGCGCTGGGCGCCTGGCTCAAGTGCGGCAGCCTGGCCCCGCAGCGCTACCCGCTCACGCTGGCCGCGCAGGCCGTCTGCGCCGTGGCACAGGTCTTCATCCTGGGGCTGCCCTCCCGCATCGCCTCCGTCTGGTTCGGCCCCACCGAGGTCTCCACCGCCTGCGCCGTGGCTGTGCTGGGCAACCAGGTAGGGCCGCAGGGCAGCGAGGGGGAAGTCCTTGGAGCTCGGCACCGAGTTAAAAGCGAGGTGCTTAAGTGGGAAAAGGCGTTCTGCAGGATATGGTGTTGGGAGAGTGGACAGGGGAGGAAGCGGGGCCGAGCGCGGGTGATGCTGCCTATGAACATGGTAGGAGCCGCGCCGTGTGGCAGCGAGGGCAGCTCACACGCTGCCATCAACTGCCAGCGGTGCATCCGTCAAAACCCTTTTCAGAAGTGATCCTGCTCTACTTCCTCTTCCTCTTGCGTTTTAGCATCATTTAACATTCAGTGAAATGATTCACCCCCTGCTGGAGGGGTGTGAACTCCGTGAACTTTCATGAAGGGCCCCAGCGACAGCATCTATCGGTTTCTGCTTTTTAAAATAAGGCCTCTAATTGCCAGGTGCCAGTAGTCAATACCTAGTGACTCGTGAAGTTTTGTGTAACGCTGTGATAGTTCACATCACTTTTGGGAGCTGATAACTGAGTCACGGATTTTCTCAAGCTCCCTGGTCCTGGCCAGTTTCAGAGAGCTGGGACAGGTGCATCTGAAAGCACAGGTGCAAGTATGATACTCTTTCCTCCTACAGTCTTATTCTCATGTCCTGCCACCGTCCCAGCTTTTTTTTTTTTTTGTTCCTGTGGCAAAAAATTGCTAAGATTCGAATCAGCATCGCTGGTTCAGGCTGAGATCATAGGTAGAGTTTGGTTAAGGTAATGGGAAATTTGGTTTTTATCATATGAGTCTAATGATTTTATGTTTGTGCACTTTGGATTACGATAGCAGTGACATTAATGTTACATATTTACAGTTGGGTGGTAACCTAGCTGATACTTGGCTGTTCACAGTTTTTCCAAAACTTTTTTTTTGCATGGAAGTTTTCCAGTCAACCGTCCCTTTTGGACTGAAGATTTCAGAAATGGGTTGTTTCAGCAGTGAGGCAAATATTTTGCATCTGCATCCTGGTATCAGGTTAAAGGTTTCTTTGGCAGCTAAATTTCCACTCTTCCTGACATGCACCAGTCCCCCCAGTAGCAAGGAGTTACTGGGTTTTCAGTTGTGCAGTTCAGCTTGGAGCTGAAACTGATGCTTCACTTGGATGCTGAGATGTGGGCTTGAAGTGCAGGACAGGAGTGAGAGAGCACGGATTATGTGGATGGGAACCACGAGAAAGATGGGCAAGGGAAACAGGATCAGGATGTGAAGAAAAGAAGCTGTGGTTATTTCTGGAGTGTATTCCCCTCCAGAAGCTAGGACTGATCTCATTGTGCCTGCTGAAGAGCTTGCTGGTAGTGTGTCAATAAAACAACAGAATTTCTCTATTCTCGGGTTTTGCTTCCTTAAAAAAACCCTAATAACTCTCAAAAGCTAGATTGAAAGAGTAGTGAGATGCAGAGTTAGGCACTTGGAAGTTAAGAGTAATGTTTTCCGTGTATCCCATTGCCGTTCCCTCCTGCACACGCATTCCCGTCGGGTCTCACTGTGCTGGATAATTGCACAAGGTGAACTGTGTAACAGAGCAGGTTGCTATAACACACGCAGCTGTTGGTCATCTGATTGCTTATCAGATACTGTGTGTGACTTCAGAGCTACAGGAAACACAGCCGGGACCGCAGGCAGGGGAGGAACAGAGCAAAAATTATCAAAAATTAGATCTCGCCTCTGAGATGCTGTTTCAGCTTGGAGCACAAATCACTGGGAATGCAGCCCTGCCAAGGGCTGCTGGGAGTGCCACATCTCCACAAGTGTTTAGCATCTTAAATGAGGCACACCAAACTCATTGGAACGCTTTCTTCTGGCCTTAACCTCTCTGGATGTAAATGATGGGAAATGGTATCGCTCGACTTTGTTGGAGCATTGTGGGTGCTACATTGGCTCCTATTGGGGGAGGAGAAAATATACCTAAAGAAAAAATGTAACTGTGTGCTCAGTTCATGTTTGTAGGGTTCATATACTGAAGCGTGAGGACAAAAGGAGACACATTCTTCCTGTGACCACTGGATACTGTGTCAATCTGATGGCCTGGGGGAAAAAAAGGTAGCAAAACCCTTATCAAGGTATGCACAAAGGGTGCTTTGTAAGCACGGTGGCACACCTCTAATGTGCGTGCTTTCTGATTGTTGGACTTGCTACTCTAACAGTCTTTGGTGCTCTTTTTTTCATTTATTTTTACCTAAAATAAATGTTCCAACACTTAAAATGCCATTTAGTTTTTGGGGAGCAGAAGAGAGACATTGGAGAATAGCCCAGGACTTGTTCCTTCATGTTTTAAAATGCTTTATATATATATATATATATATATATATACACCCAAAATTTCAGTCCCTATTTTACGTCTCTTTAATGCAAAATCAGTTGTTACGTTAGAATTTACTCCACGTACAAACCCCCTACACTTCATTCTGTGATTTTTATTTATTTCCTTAGCAATAATTATTTGGTTTGGTCTTAATAAGGATATTCCTTTTCTCTTGCTTTTCTCTGCTCTATCTGTACTGCAGTAAACCTTGCAGTCAGGCTTTGCTACTGTAGTGGCAGGATTGTGACATCAAATGAAGAACATTTCTACAAGAGTAGCTGGAGTCTTTGTGTCATCTCTATCCCTTCAGTTGCAGGATGACTGACACAAATTTATGTTCGTGCATGGTACTTTCCTGTGAAAGATTCTTGTATAAGTACTATGTGTAGTGTAAATATGTACACTAAATGTGGCATTATAGCTCAATTGAGAAATGAAAAGGTTAAAACCTAAGTTATAACCTGTTGGAAGATCTAGTTGTAAAACAACATCGAGAGCAAGTGGCTCAGAAGTGTGATACTATAGTTTTATTATGCTTATTATGATAACAATTCTGAATTCTACCTGGTAAGACTTTTCACTCCTGTTAATTTTTATGTTCAGAGGAAAATGATTTTTGGTTTTGTTTTCTTGCCTTACAGCTTGGTACTGCAATTGGCTTTTTGTTGCCACCTGTTTTGGTCCCAAATACACCGAATGATATTGATCTTATGGCACATAACATCAGCATCATGTTCTACGGAACTGCCATAGTGTCCACGCTTTTGTTCTTCTTAACAGGAGTTGGTAAGTGTTTAAATCACTGGAATTTGCATGCTGGCTATAGGGAGTGTTTACAACGTCTCACTTAAAGCAGCTGACTGCTCACAGTAGTTGAGGTTACGGGTTTTCCAGTTTGTGTTCTCTTCCCTGTTGTGCCAGGGTTAAGCAGCAACTGTTTCACTCTACGTTGTGCTTCACATGGGGTGATTTCTTTCAGAGTATTTAGTTGTCTTAGTTTATTTGCTGCAAGGACTTATGATATAATGTGAATTCACTCTGTTAATATTACAATTTATATACAAAAGTATTGATGTATTGCAGATGAAGTCTGTCCATATTTTGTTAGCAATCAGATGTGACCAAATAAAATGTCCTTTGTGGATGTGACTTAGTTCTTCCATAAGAAAATCTAGAATTTTTGTCATGGAGTTGTTAAAACTACAAGTCAGTCTTCTGAAATTCATCAAGCTGAAACACTTAAAAAAAAAAAAAATTAGTTTGGTGGAGATTAATCAAAATTTGTTCCTTCTTCTTTTTTCCCAGTGTTTGAAGAAAAGCCCAAATACCCTCCCAGTCACTCTCAAGCAGTCCTGCAAACTAAACCTCCTGAGGATTATTCCTACAAGCAGTCCATTATTAACTTGTTCAGAAATATTCCGTTTATACTTTTGCTAATCAGTTATGGTAAGTGATGCTATCTGCTTGTAGTCTGGCAGAAAGATTCAAATGCGGGCCAGAAGCACATAGAATTTTAATATTGAGGTTTTTTTTATGGGGAAGGGACTGTCATACTTTTATTTACTTTTATTTACTTTTATTTACTCAGTAAGCTTTTTATTTACTTTAATTTGCCAGTCCTGGCAAATCTGTAAGGATGAAAAATACCCCTTATAGGTCCAATGATGAGATGTTAACTGTCACATGAAGGGTTTTGTGTTGTGAGTCTTGAATGTCAAAAGATGAATTCTTTAGGGTGACAAATCTGCATGGCTGCACCTGAAATGACTGAAGCTTTTTTCTTGGTACTGCAGGTATTATGACTGGGGCATTTTATTCTGTCTCCACATTATTAAACCAGATGATAGTAACTCATTATGAGGTAAGTTCCTTGGATCTTATCTTTCTCTTTTTCACTGTACTTTTGCAGAGGTGATATTTATTTTGTAGGTGCTATGTGTGCTCAGACATTTGGTTTCTTTTATACCTCTGTACAGTTTGTTGTACCATACAGCTGTGGGAGTCACAGGAATGTTTGTTTGCACTTATGACTGCCAAGAGGTCTGAACTTGACTCTGAGTGGAAGCAAGTTATTAATGAGCACCATATAAATATTTGTTGAAAGGGAGAAGAAGTGAACGCTGGGAGAATTGGCTTGACACTGGTGGTGGCAGGAATGGTGGGTTCGATTATTTGTGGTTTGTGGCTGGATTACACTAAAACATACAAGTAAGTGTGGGTAGGCATGTGTGGGGTTAGGGGTAGGAGAGTGGTGCCATTGCATTAGGAAAATACTCCAATATAAGGGCTGAAATGAACTGCTGATGAAATGCAGTTTGTCCCTGATCTTTTAGTGGCCCTACATGGAGAGGAATTTCTGTGGCTCCAGTGAAAGCTTGAGCCTCTTACTGGTTATTGGTCAAAAGAAATGAGGGAGCAGAATGGAAAGATGCAAAGGGATTTGTCATCTACTCCTGTCTCTTCAGGAGTGTAAGAAAAACACTGTAGGTCGTACATACAGTGGCCAGGTGGCCCAGTGGGCTTCTTCTCCTAGGAAAGCATTAAATCTCAAAGCCTACCTTGCATTGTTTTGTAAAATGGCCAGCTGATGGATTCTCAATTTTTTATGCTACTCCTGATCCCATTAGTAAGTGTAACATTTACTTTAATTCAGGGGATGACCATGGAGCAGAGCTCTCTTCTGGGGTAGGAGGTCCTGGGTCCATCATCCATGGTGTGGTGCCTCCAGGAGCAAGCACTGTTTGTGATGGAGTAGTTTTCCCCCGTGATTCTTAGTACATTACATGCCTCTACAAGCCTAATGGATGTTAATGCTGTAGATTGGCTTTGTTTCTGCATGTGTTTTGGCTTATAAATATGTGCTTTAAGAATTTGGAAGACATCCCTTCTTCCAGGTTCAAAATAAATAGAACACTGTAATGAGATTTGTTTGACTTGCCTCTTGGTAGGCTGGCTCTTATTGCTAATAGTGTTGGACTCAGCTGCTCCTGTGTTGATGTATTGTGTAATGGGCAGCACTGCAGAATGGCCAAGAGGTACAACATAGCAGAGAATTAAAATTGTCTAAAGGTAGCAGTATGTGCTGTGATTGTCCATTCTTTGAGAGTGAGTAAGTGTCCTTAGCCTTGAGTGAAGCAGCCAGATAGCCAAGACAATGAAGAGTTCAGGAATGGATATGTGCTCACTGCATGCTAAGTTTGAGGCAGAATTACATGAAACAAGTATTATAGCTTTAGAATGGCTTATGTAATGTTCATATTATCCTTCCATGCTTCAGCAATGTGCTGTGGCCTTCTATTAACAATGTTAATTTGTTGTTGTTGTTGGGTTGCAGGCAAACTACTTTGATTGTTTACATTCTCTCTTTCATTGGGCTGCTGGTATTTACCTTCACCCTGGACCTCGGATACCTTATAGTAGTGTTCGTGACTGGAGGAGTGCTTGGGTGAGCAATAAAAGAGCACTACAGGATTTACTGCAGTTCTGTTCTGAAACATAGTTAAATGTTTTACCTAGATAATTCTACTGTGTATTCTGTCACCATGATCTCAGCCTATGCCTTTAGCTCACAGTACAGATTGGGTTTCACCTTCTGTTACATCAGAATAAATCTAAAGTAACTCACTTTTCAGTAAATTTCATCTACCGTTTTTATGGACCTAAGAGAGGTCTCTATGTGGTCAGTTTGTTTGGTTCCTATTCAAAAAGCTGTCTGTAGTGAAGTTGAAGCTTTCTCTTGACCAGTGTGTAGGTGATTAGAATTTCACTGAGCAGACCTAGGAAGACTGGCTTCTCTGCATTTTCATAAATCTATACTTTGATAGCCCAAGCAACATGCTGGTTGCTTCGTTTGCTCATAGATACCTCATCTAAAAGCCTCAAGAGATGATGAGGAAATGTTGCTGTATTCAGACACAGAAGTCAAGATAAAACCAGAAATGTCTTGAGAGTTTCAGTTTAAAAACCAATCAACCAAGCTGAGCTGCATTAAGCCCCTTCTCTTTCCATCATTCATCCGTCCCCTCAGCTTCTTCCATAGCAGCTTCCAGCAGGTGTTCCAGTGTACAGCCTCACTCCCTTCTCATGTTTTCTTTTTGTCCTCCAGCATGGATATTTGGGCTGATCAAATGATGATGTTTGTGTATGAAAGTAATTGAAAGTAATTGAAAGTAATTGGCTTCAAGTATGGAGTGGTATGTGGACTTGATAAAAAGGTTTTCTCGTATGTATGGTGGTTTGGGAAATAGGACAATCATGTTTTTACAGCTTTGTCCTAGAGAGAAAGATGTGTGGCTAAAATTCTTAGATTATACTGAAGGAATGAACCAGTCACTATTATTTGGAATTACTGAATTCTGTTAAGTCATGAACACATGACAGTTCAGAATACCAGCTAATTAATAATACCGTGTGTGTATGTTAGGTTTTCTTACCTGTAGTAACAGATAAAGGCCACACCTGTCATCCTCCTACTCTCCTCTTCAACAGGTTCTTCATGACTGGCTATCTTCCACTTGGGTTTGAATTTGCTGTGGAAATTACATATCCAGAGTCTGAAGGCACTTCCTCAGGTCTCCTTAATGCATCAGCACAGGTAACAGCATTTTATTTCTTCAAGTGAAGTTATGCTCAGGAAGGCCACTATGCTCGAGTCTAGGAAGGCTTTCTTAGACTTAGCTAAGTCTCTGTTCTGTTGCTATAGTCTTGGTTTTTTTTAAATTTGATTTCTATAAGATGTGACCTGGAACTTTTAAAGGTAAAATGATGACTCTTTTCTCTGTGATCCTGATGAAGTTATTTGTTTGTTTATAGATATTTGGAATTGTCTTTACACTTGTTCAAGGAAAGCTCACAACAGACTACAGTCCTCGTGCAGGAAACATCTTTCTTTGTGCTTGGATTTTTGTGGGCATTATTTTAACAGGTAATTACAAGTGCAAGTAATAGTTTCTCTTTAATGTAAAAATGTATATGTTATAAGGATGATGTTGCTAATATATGGACAGCTATCTGACCCCCATTTCTTGACATATCTTGAATTTGACACAGATGTCCATCTCCAAAGTGGAGTGAGAAATGCAAACAAATGCATAAATTGAGGAAGTTTGCAGTTTTCCAAATGCAGGAAACTGCTGATGCACTCTGGAGCTGTCCCAGTGACTTACAAATGTGGAAAGTGCTGAAACTAACAAGCTTTTCTTTAAGTTCCTTTGGTTTATAAAATTTTATTGTAATTTCCTGCTTTGTGTGCTTTGTGAGGAGCAAGTTCAAACTGTCAGTGAGTTCAAATTGCAAAGAGTGAATGAGGGTATTTTGAAAATGTGCTGAAAGCAGCTTCTGTGTGCTTGCACTAAACAAACATTTCCCTTGAAGTGCATGTCACTGCAAAGGTGTGAACCAGCTTTCTTTTTTTCTTTTTTTCCAGCCTTAATAAAATCAGATCTGCGAAGACACAATGTGAATTCAGGGATTATGAACTTGGACGTTAAAGCTGTAAGTGGTGACTTTTACCATGATTGTATTACCAACCTGAATGCTTGACTACTGGCGTAACAATATCAGCTGCAAGAGTAACTGACAAAATCTTATGAGTCATTCCATGCTGGTTTTGAACAACAGAGACACATGGGATGCTGACCTCACTTATCTGGTTTTCTCCTTAATTCCCATGAAAAAAAATGGAAAAAACTTCTGCTCTCAGGTTTTTAAATTTTTTTTTTTAAATATTTGAATTTTGAGTGGCTAAAATATTATTTTATTGCTTGAATCTTGCTTTTTCATAATGGCAGGGTAGCATTGTAAATTGTGAAGCCTTTTTGTTTCTTGAGTTATGAGGCCATCCTATAGACTATGCATTTTATTTAAAATACCTGCAGTCCCTTCAGATGAAGTCAGTATCTGATAAACGGAAGCTGTGCTGGAGTTTCTATACAGTGCTGCATAAAGAGCTGGGTTTGTTCTTCTTCTGATGCTCTCAATTTAAATGAAGAGTGAGTGCAGCATTCTCTGATGATCATAAGGTTCCACATTTCAGCAGCTTTTCCTAACTACTACAGTTACTAGTAGAAACAAAGCTCTCAGTGGAAAATTTTTTTCAATGCTGTGGGTTTTTGATTGTTTGGATCAAGATATGAGACGGCTTTTTGGAGTCAGACATTGCAAGATCCTCTGCCATGCTTCTTTTTGTGTAGGTGTCTTGCATGCCCAGCAGCTTTTGATCAACTGTGGCCGACTGCACATGTTAGTCTGAGGTTCAGAAACGTCTGAGCTGGTGCTGTCTGAGCTAACTTGAACCTGAAACCTGAGCAGCTGCCTGTGCTCAGTGTGGCACCCTGTGGGTTTCCCAGCTGGGGCTCTCTGGGGGCTGTGCATGACTCGTCTGCTTTCCATTATCACCTCGTTAATTAGCCCAGCTCGACACACAGCTTCGTTCATATCAGCCAGGGTGTAAGAAAAGCTGCAGTCCTTGCCCTGACGTTGCCTTGCATGACTGAGACCTGCCTGTGTTAATAATGTTCAATATCACTTTGATACTGAGCCTTGATCAAGATTCTACTGTGGTTAAATGCAACGGAGAAAAGGAATGGGAAGTTAATCTTCATGTGACAAATATTTATATGCAGTAAATATATACTTTAGAGTTACACTAAGAAACTAAATTCTAAATTCTATGTTACACATAGAATTAACTACATATACTGTTGGAGCCTAACCTAATAATTACCCAAGAATACTGAGCTTGAGAATAATACTGTTGAATAACAGCTTAATTCCAGTTTTGTTTTTATTTTTTCATCTCCCTCTTCAGGTACCAGTTGACAGTCCTGTAGAACCTGAAAACACTACTTTAAAGATTCAGTCAACTTTATAAAACTGGAAGAAGGTTGTGGGTGACAGAAGGTGACTTAGAAACGCACAAGTTTGGTTAGATATGGAACAAGAGGAGCTAGTGTAATCACTGGATTTGTGTGTGCCAGTAGTACAATGTGTATGTGTTTGTTGATAGTGGTGGTAGTTGTGTGTTGGAAGCTCTGAAGATGCTCAGTTCATTTTGCCCAAGATGCAAACAATTCACTTTTGTACGGAATATTTATTTTAAAACTTTCAAGTTTTGCAGTTTCATTAGTAAAGAACTGTGTGAACACTCTCCACAGTAGGGAGACTTGTGCATTCAGGATGCCTACTTGAAAAAAATCAGGAATCTTGAAGTACAGTTGTCATGATCAGAAGTATCTAATCTTTTCTTGTTAAATCTTGCTGGTGCTTTTGAAAAGTCAAAGACTAGGGAGATGCACAGCAGGAGGATGTTCAAGAGTTTTTTTTTTTTTTTTTTTAATGTATCTGTATTTGAATATAAGCCAATGATTCCTTCTGGAAAAGTGATAGCACAATACTGAAAACAAGAGATGACATGTTTCATACTGGCATCTGACATTTCTTTTGCCTTGAAACTTCTTCATAGGTATCAAAAGGCAGATAAGAGACAACACTGTTTCTATAGCTTCATTGTAGCATTTCTGGAGAGATTTAAAAATTTTCTCACTAGATAAATGGGAGAAAAAACATCTCTTATTAAATACAGTAAAAAGGAGAACAAAGGCCTTTGATATCTCTATTGTGAAATACTTAGAAGCAATGGAACACTACCATACAAGTTTCCTCTACAGAGTATTTTGAGTGCTTTCTCAATTAAAGAGAGAGGAGTATGTGTTTACAAAGAGCCAGTGCCTTTACTTTGTAAAGAAGATCCCTGCCTCATCTTGAGTTTAATCAGTGCTGCTGAAGAAATTCCATTTTGTGTGTTAAAGCTCTGAATATTTGTGGAGTATCAGAAAATGTGTTCTGTCCTTTTTATGAATTGTATCACTTGTCTCATGTGAAATTCCTGTGCTTGTGTAACTTAAATCATGTCTTTTGAAGTTTGTTAAAAGTTGTAAGGATGATTTACAGCGAAATAGTGATATTTTTGCTTTCTCTGATCAAATATTTTTTTATATACCATCTTAGCTGCAAAATGAGCAGACTTCATTAACAGTAACTTTTTGTTACCTCATTTATCTATATTTAGGATGGGGGTTTCTCACTGCAGTGCTTTCGAATTTTTTTTCCTTTACCTTGTGCTCTAGCTACACACCCACAGAACTGATAGCACTACAGTTTCTGGGAAAGTCATACCTAGGTTAGTGGACTTTTTGGAAACACTTAATTTTTACCTCAGCAAACTGAGCTTGCAAGTTCAGTGCCATCAGTGATGCTGTGTCTTTGAGTTGTCATAGATGCAGTGCCATCCAGAAGGTGGGATCTACTCAAAGTTTTCCACAGATTACTACAGTTGGGGGATGTGGAATTATTTAACTCTGTGCTGTTTTCAGTTTTCAGCTGGGCTAATTAATCTTCTTCACAGTGGCTGGCATGGGGCTGTGTTTTGGATTTGTGCTGAACATAGGGTTGATAATGCAGAGATGTTTGTATTGTTGCTGAGCAGGGCTTACACAGACAGAGCCATTTCTGTTTTGCATGCATCAGAACAGGCAAGGAAGCTGGGAGTGCATGGGAGGCTGGGAGGAGACACAGCCAGGACAGATGACCCCGACTGACCAAAGGGATATTCCAGACCGTGTGACATCAGTGTATACAGTGGGGGGCAGAAGGAGGAAGGGAGGAATGCTTGCAGTGATGGTATTTTCTTCCCAAGTAGCCATTGAACTTGATGGGGATGGCTGAGCACCGGAATTAATTCCTTGTTTTTCTTTGCTTGTGTGTGTGGCTTCTGCTTTCCCTATTGAGCAGTCATTATCTCAACCCATGATTTTTCCAGCTTTTGCCCTTCTGATCCATCCTCAATCCCCATTGGTGGGGAAGGGAGTGAGCAGTGGCTGCTTGGGGCTTGGTGGATGGCTGGGCTTAAACAACAGCAAACTCCAAGAGAGTCTCTAAATACAATAAATATCATTAAAAGCTTTTCTTTTTCTTATTTTGCTGTAGACTCAGGAAAATCCTTTTGTACAAAAAGGGCCCTGAAAACTTATCTTTCTCAGCTAAGCCTCTAAATGTTATGATCTTGATTTAAACATTTTGTATGATAAATGCTTTAGACAGGGGGAGACCTATCAGAATAAACTAAGCACGCTTGGAACACTTGCCTTGCCAAAAAGGGTTCATGTCTCTTTGCCAGGTCCAGTGCTAGGGCCAAGCCTTGCTGCTTGCCTTGAACTCTTCTAGAGTCCACTGCTGACGTAGCTGAATATAGGAAAAGTAACTCTTTGCTATTCAAATGGCAGGCAAGGGTATAGGAGTGAAAGTAGAGATGTTTTCATTGTGTCAGTCCTTTACACTGATGCTGCCCCATCAAGAGATGGACACGTTTTCAGCCTGAGTGAGAAAAGTGAAAGTTTCTGCCTTGTGACATACATGGGTGGCTTTTCCCTTTGGAATAATGATAATAATGTGTGCCAAAACATATATATGTTTTTCAGCAAGATACAGATACAGAAAATATTTATGTTCATGGCCCATTGTTGCTTTGACTTTTGATGTTGCAAAATCTTAACAAGATAATATTTTTGTAGTTTTGGGGAATTGTTTTCAAATGTCCAGTAGAAACTCTTTGGCAGTATCCAGGCTGTTTGCTGACTTTTCAGTATACACTGTTCAAAATCAAAGACTGAGTCTTTTTCTTTCTTTCTTAAAATTTTTCAATTCCTTTCTTCACTAGTAGTTTCCAGTTTCTTTAGTTATGTTCAACTGATTATTGAAAAAATATTCTAGTTCTGGCTCCTTGTGTTTTTTATCTTCTGCCAAATTACTTGGCTACCTTCTGCAAAGGTTGAAACAAGATTTTGGCTTGCTGGAAACTCTGCTGGGTCCCTAAAAAGAAAATATTCCTAATAATGAAAGCTTAATTACATCTTGGATTTAATATTCCCTTTCTAAAAGGAGCTTGAAAGTTGGAAACCTGTGAGCTATTTTCAGGCAATGATAAAGTGTTTAAATGAACGGCTCAGCAGCAGAATAAAGAACAAATAAAGAGCAAATCAGTATTTTTTATGCAATAGTCTTATCATCTGTCAAGAAATTGAGGTTCTAGCTCATGGCAGAAATAAATTTGGAGTAGTTGAGACTTTGTGATTTTTGCTTTTAATTTTTGGGTTATAGCAGACAGCATCCACTCAGTCAGTCATAGACTGTTAAGGGGTTGGAAGGGATCTTAAAGATGATCTGGTCCCAGCCCATCTGTCATGGGCAGGGACATCTCCCACTAGACCAGGCTGCTCCAGGCTCTATCCAGCCTGGCCTTGAGCCCTGCCAGGGTTGGGGTGTCCACAGCCCGCCTGGGCAGCCTGTGCCAGTGTCTTACCATCCTCACAGAGAAACATTTATTCCTGATATCTAAATTAAATTTCCTCTCTTTCAGTTGGTACCCATTCCCTCTTGTCCTGTCACTACAATTCCTGACAAAGAGTCTCTCCCACTTCCCTGTAGTCCCTCTTTAGATACTGGAAGGTTGCTATGAGTTCTCCATGCAGCCTTCTTAGCCTGGAAATTCCACATGCATCTGGAATTGGAAATACGATTTTTGACTCCTGGCCTTGAGATCCTGGCTCAGCCCCCCAGCAAGAGCAGAGTTGGGGGCTAAAAATCCTAACTGTTTGAAAAGGTAGTTGTATCATGAAAGGAATTGCACATCAACGAGGAGAGGATGGT